GGTATTTCTTAAGAATGCAAATTGGCTTCTGCCAAATTGCCTGCCTTTTGCCCATGGTACTATGTGGTTTCTGGAGTCAGCCTGGTGTGAAATCTCTCAGCTCCACTTCTCGCTAGCTATGATACTTACTGTACCCCCCTTACAGTATTTGTTTTCTCACCTGTCAAATGGGAAGGACACCGGGTGGTGTTGGGGGAGGAACGTATTGGGAAAGAGCATAAAAAGCCCCAACATCATTCCTGGCACATTTAAACATCCATAAATGGGGCTCTTGGTAGCATCATGGGTTACACAGTGGGCTGCTAGCTACAAGGTCAGCAGTTTGAATTCACCAGCTGCTCCTCAGGAGACAGATGAGGTTTTCTGCTCCCATAAAGATTTATACTCTCAGAAACCCGAAGAGGCAGTTCTACTCTGTCTTCTAGGGTCGCTATGAAGCGAGTTTGGGGCTTGTTAGTCAGAATTAAGTATAGCAACAGTTTTTAGACCTGCACTGCCTCGTGAGGTAGCTACTAGCCACATTCAGACTCAAATTACTTTAAATGAGGTTAAATCAAATTTTAAATTCCTTAATCAGGCTACCATATTGCAATAGGCACAGGGGCTGTTATCGGTGCTCAGTGCCATCTGAGTATAAGGGAAGGAAACAAGGAGCCCATGGTACTGTGTCAATCCATCTTGTTGAGGGCCAGTCTTCTACTTTTCCAGGCCCCCTGTCTTCCTGCAGGCCCTGGGTCCTCCTGACAGTGAGTGAGCGTGTCCAAAGTCCATGAGTCTCGCCATCCTCGCTTGTAAGGAGCATGCCAGCTGTACTCCTTCTAATACGGATGTGTTCATTCATCTGACCGCTATACTGGCCAGTGCGACCACAGAGCAGTCCCATCATTGCAGAAAGTTCTATTGGACAGAGCTCTTTTAGGTATTTGCGTATAAATCTGCATTTGATGAATTTCCTCTTCTAAATGGCAGTAACGTATCAAACCCTCTACCACTGAAAACAATCTTGTGTTAGCCATGGTTAGCGTGCGTCTGGGGTCCCTGCCTGGGGCAAAGGGTTAAGTGCTGCCCTGCTAACGGAAAGATTGCAGTTCAAACCCACCTGGAGGTGCCTTGAGAGTGAGGAAGGCCTGGCGATCTCCTTGTGACGGGTCACAGCCTGGACAAACCCGGTGGGTCCCATGAGTTGGAATTAGCTCCCTGGTAAGTAATCAGCCCCAACCTTGGTTCTTCAGTCTAGTGAGAAGGTGGCAGGATGGGGTGAGTTTACCGTTCTGTGTTATGCGAATCTTATCCACAATCCATCCTTCCCCCCCTTTCTACCTTCCCCTCTCTCTTTGCAGGAGGAGACCACACGATCACATATCCCATATTGCAAGCACTGGCTGAAAAGTAAGTCCCCAGTGGCATGGTCCCAGCGAGGCTTCAGCATTCAAGAGCTAGGGAGTGAGTTGTTTGCTGCTGGATGACATTAAGTGACCTTCACTGGTGATAGGGAATTTCCAAATGAACGCTTCTAGGATTCAAAGTGAAGGCTGAGCGCCCACTGTCTGTCAGTGACAGGCTAGAAGGCAAGGCTATGTATTATTAACACTGCTGGGCCCCTCGTTGGCCCTGCATCCGTTCTGGGATGCATGCTCAAGGGTTTGCAACTGGCCTCTGATTTTAGAGGATGAGCTTCTCCAGTTGGTTAGTGTCTGTTTGCTGTAACGGCCAAGTCCAAATACTGAGAGGCCCAAAGGGAGAGCTTGCTGAGGGCAGTCCTGTTTTCTCCAGACATGGTCCCCTTCCCAGACAATGGAAAGCCTCATTTCTGAGTAGCGGACGTTCTCCAGGGATTGACTTGTCTTGCTGTGGTTTGGGGTCACGGAGTCACCTCAGACCCACGGGCAGCCTGTGTACCCCGAGAGGCAGCACCTCGCAGTACCGTGCCGTCTCCGTGACTGCCGTATGTTTGAGCGCATGGTTGTGTGTTCTAAGTACCATATCTTCCCACTCCTACAGCTTATCTTCCAGCACCCAATAAACAAATAAAAAATAAATCCCCCACTCACCTCCATCCAGTCCACGCCAATCCATAGCGAGCCTGGAGGGCAGGGTAGCACTGCCCTGTGGGTTTCTGAGACTGTCACTCTTTACAGGAGTAGAAAGCCCGTCTGGAGAACATTCTGCCGTGGTCCGTCAGGTTGTCATGGGCTCCTTTTCAGAAGGAGGCGCCATGCCTCCCTTCCTGATCCATCGTAGCCTGGAGGTTCTGCTGGAACCTGCCCCCCATGGTTTTCAAACACTGGACATGTACATCGTACACCGCTCCCAGTGTCAGGGCGCTGCACAGGCCCCCACCAGAGAGCAGGCCGATGTGTGTGTGTGGGGGTTGGCCTGTGGGCCCACGTGGTTTCAGGTGGAGGTAGAAGGGCAGCGGGAGGTGCAGGGGCACAACTGGGACAAGAGAAGGTGGTCAGGGTGGACTCTAGTTGGGGGGTGGGGTGGGTACAGGGCTTTTTTCAAAGCTAAGATTTGCATGATACATTTATTTGGGGTGGCTGGCAGGGCAGGATAGATGGAGATTAGGGGGCAAGGGCTTGGTTCAAGCATCTGCTTGGTGCCACAGTTGGAGAATGGGGCTGGGGGATGGGCGGTGGTCCATTCAGCCTGCAGCCGCGCCAGCCTAAGCCACCCTCCCTGCCTCATCCACGAGAAGCGAAATGGCGACAGGGCGACCTGTCCGTGTTCTGCCCGACTTCTCAGAGTTTATTGCCCCTGTGAGATGCTAAACCATCAGGTGTTGAAGCCAGAGGCCAGTTGCAAGTAGGGATGCCAGGCCCACGGGTCCCCTGACTTGCCCCATGTCCTCAGACACGGCCCCGTGGGGCTGCTGCACGTGGACGCGCACACGGACACGGCCGACCAGGCCCTGGGGGAGAAGCTATACCACGGGACGCCCTTCCGCCGCTGCGTGGACGAGGGACTCCTGGACTGCCAGCGAGTGGTGCAGATCGGCATCCGGGGCTCCGCCAGGACCCTGGACCCTTACAGATACAACCGGAGCCAGGTGACCGCCGGACACCCCGCCCTGCGCCCACTCTGGGGCCTGACTCCAAGTCACGTTCAGGGAGTGGCCCGTGGAGGGCGCAGGGGAAGGCCTCTGGACCGGGTTGGATTAGGGTTGGGGTTTCTCCTGGGAACAACGGAGAGCGCCAGACCAAGGTGAGCTGCCACTTGTCGCTCCCCAGGGCTCTTATACAAGGGGACACTCCTCCTGGGGCTGCTCAGGAGCTGCGTGTGCTGTTTCAGCAAAGCTTCTCTCCGACCTCAGCTCTGCAAGTCAGCCTTGACTCTTTACCGGGTCCCCGTGCCTCCATTCCCCAGCCAGCCTCATCTGGAAGCTGGGACAGTCGTTCCTGCCTCGTGGGGGCTGAGGGCCGGATGGCTTAGCCAGAGGCTGGCACCTGGGAGAGGCCGACATGCTCCTGCGGTGCGGTGCGCAGAAGCTGTGGCCTTGAAGCTTCCACTTCCGCTCTCCCCAGGGCTTCCGGGTGGTGCTGGCTGAAGACTGCTGGCTGAAGTCGCTGGTCCCCCTGATGGGGGAGGTCAGGCAGCAGATGGGCGGCAAACCCATATATGTCAGCTTCGATATCGATGCCTTGGATCCTGCCTATGCCCCAGGCACAGGGACACCTGAAATTGCTGGTCTCACCCCTAGTCAGGTAAGGAGGTGCCATCAGTGAGGTGGGCAGGGGCATTCCTGGACCAGTAGCGAGACTTCAGAAATCACAATTGGGTTTGAGGAGAGCCACGTGAGGCTTTGAGGCCTGGGTACTCCCCCAGTGAGTGGCAGGGCACCTGTCTCTTCATTAGGATATAAAACATCTCCTTGCCTCTGGTCCATTTGTAGTCAGCCCACGGGGATAAGGTTGTGTGTGCCCTGAAGCATTCAAAACTTACCTTTCTAGGGAGAAAGGTAAAAAGTGCACACCAGACTAGCCACCACTCAAGTAATCGCAGTGTTATGACCTAATGCTAGCGCTAGAGGCTCATCCACATAAAGTGCCCGTGAGGCTGGCGGATGGTAAACCCAGAGAGGTGGGAGTGTGGCTGCAACGAGGTCAGCTCCAGGAGGACAGGGCCTTCCTTCTGTTCACTGCCCTCCACTCAGAGCCTGCAGTGGTCTGTGAACTGTACGTACCCCAAGATAACTGATGGGCTGACTGAATGGGGGCTGCTTAAGCCTCATCAGTTATCTGAGGTAAGAAAGGGCAGTCTTCAGAACTCCCAGAGCCATCTCAATTCCCATCCCCCAGCACCCCCCTTCCGAGGGCAGTGCTGCCTGCAGCTGCCTCAGCAGATGGAACCCCCTCCCAATGGGGCGCCTCTCTTAAGCCACCCCTGCGGCTCCCATTGAGGTGACTGCATGCCCTCCCTTCCTTCTACCTGGAAACCCCTTTCCCTCTCCTGGGCTCAGGTGGTTCTTTGAGCTAAGTGCTTCCCCCTTGGGGTGGGGGTGGGGGCTGACGTCTCTCCAGGCCAATCTCCTTCTCTTTCACGAGCGGACTCCTCTCAAAGTCCTATATACCCAACGTCGCAATGCCTGATCTGCTTGCTCCCCAATCAGAGGCTAGATGTGCGTGTCCCTGAAAGCCTACCAGTGGCTGGCAGTCAGCCAAGTGTTTATTGAGGGAAAGTGGCACTTCCACGTCAAGGGGGACAATGGCCCACATAGGGGGAGCCATCCACTGGAGCCTGTGCTAGTCGCTTTGCATCGTGCACAGTACCACAGGCATAACTCGCACCTTATCTTGAACAGGCTCTGGAGATCATCCGGGGCTGCCAAGGCCTGAGTGTGGTGGGCTGTGACCTTGTGGAAGTGGCCCCATTGTACGATCCTTCTGGTGAGTGAGAGAACGGGTCCATTGGCAGCGGCTAGTTTAAATTACATTCATCTAGGTAGTATGTAGAGAATGGATGGGTTCCCTTGGACCTGCCAAACACATCCTGGAGTGAAGAAAATAAACCTATTATTGCACGCTTATAAACAGGAGCTAATAACCGTAACAAGCCCCATGGGAGGTAGCTGTGGCTTAATACGCTTTCCCCAGTGAGCAGAAGCAAACGAGCAGGCTGCAACTTCGGGGTGGAGTAGCACAGCTCCGCCCTCGTCCGCTGTGCTCCTGGAAATGGAATTGGCAAAGTGTACGTAATCAAGTGGGGGGCCTGGCATTGGGGGCCTGGCATTGCTCGGATGTGCCAGCCTAACGCTTCTACTTTAGAAAAGCTTACAGCCTAGCCTAGCCCATCAGCCTCAGAGAGTAAATAAACAGCAGACATATCATGGTTAAGATTTTCGGGGAGAAATCAGGTCCATCTCTCGGTAAACAAAGGAACTTGAATTTTAAAACACTCTTTTCCAGTGAATGAGGATGGAGGCTGAATCCCAGGGGCATTGCCTCCACGGGGTGGCTGTGCAGCCCATTAGAAAGGACAGAAGGCAGAAGGCCGGAGAGCTGCAGAAAGGCATGCTGGGAGGCTGCTGGGGGAGGCAGCCTGTTGGGTAGTCAGTGTGGCTTTCTTTCTTCACAGGCAACACGGCACTGCTGGCGGCTAACCTGCTGTTTGAGATGCTGTGTGTTCTTCCCCAAGTGAAAGCTGTCTGAGCGGCATCAGGACAGAACAGCAGGGGGCGGTGCCTGAGGCCAAGGTCTCCAGAAGCATCTCTGAGCAGTCAGGTCCTAGGCAGTTGATGTCAGCCCCAGAGGCTGGCGGAGTGTCACTGGGGTCTGAGACATCAGGGCAGCACTCCCATCCAAACAGCGAGCATCTCAAAGGAGTTCGGATTAACCTTGAGAAAAGGGGCTACAAAGTGCTTGTATTTGGCTTTGGATGAAAAGATGGGAAGAAATGGAAAACGGAGTTCCCTAAAAATTGAAAATGCAGAAATGAAATGAACAGGGTGAGGAAATGAGATGGTATAAGCATTCCCTATTTCCCCCAGCTCTTCCTGTTGTTCAGGAATGGAGCGCTACACATGCTTTTGGGACCACTCCAGAAAAAAATGTAAGGGGGAAATGGACATGCAGAGCTTTAATAAAGCAGCTTTTTGCTTACACCAGGACTGCAGAGGGGATGTTTGTTTATTAGGCCGGATCAGATTAGTCAGCTGGCCCCAAAAGGCCCTCAAAGAGCTTCCTCTACTGGCCCCTGTGCCTGCCTTGGCCTGGCACGATCCATCCGTCATACCGTGCAGCCTCCCGGGCAGCGACCCTTCACTCACACCGGTGTGCTCCCTTAGCACGAGCCAAGCGAGCTGCAGCACTAACCCTGCAACACGGGGTCTGAAGCTCGGTCACCGGCTGCAGCACAGGAGCAAGCCCATCATCGTCACACAGCAAAATAGTTTATTTCTGTCTCCAGTCTGTAAGGTTCTTAAAACAAAATAACATCAGCTTCAGTGCCTGTTCGCGATACAAAAACACAAAACAAAACACAAACATAAAAAAGACACAATTTGCCAAATAAGTTATTTGTTTCGAAGAGTATCAAATGTGCAAAATATTCACCTTCTTTTAGACCCAAGGGCAGTCACCCTCCTCGACAAACTCAGCAGTCAGCAGCTGCCACGCTGCCAGTTTTCGTGGGACAATGTCAGGTCTTTGGACTCGCTCGGGTAACATTTCTCTCTGGTAAGATTTTTGCATCAGCTTTTAAACAGTTTTACTTTAAAAAAAAGGAAGGAAAGGGTTTTTGTGTTTGTTTCCAAGGCTTCTTCCCTAACAAATCAAACCTCGGCAAACACATTCAGATCCCATGTTTCTATCCTGAGTCGACATTTAGGACCCACTCGGTGGTCACCGTACATGAGCTAGGGTGACAGCATATACCAGTGGACGGATATGACTAGGCTGGGGATGAGGGGGGGAAGCATTACATTTAGGACCCACTCGGTGGTCACCGTACATGAGCTAGGGTGACAGCATATACCAGTGGACGGATATGACTAGGCTGGGGATGAGGGGGGGAGCATTCAACGTTTAGTTTCACGGTCAGTGCATGGTGGCCGCGAGGCCATAGTACTTGATGGAGGCGGGGCACCCCGCTCCTGGGGTGCTTGCGTGACTAGAGCTGACAACCTCTGTGCTTGGCAGATTGTGCCGCCAACACTGGAGCTGCACAAACAGCGTCTTGATATGGGAGTGTATTTCTATAAAGACTTGTTCTAGGCTGGTTACCTGCTACACGATGGATGTATCTTGTGTGGAATCTGTATCAACCCGACAAACCCAGTTTAGAACGGCACCAACAGACCAATATTGACAGCTTCGAGATCTTTCAGGACGAGGAAGTGAACTGAGACCAAAATGGGGCTGGAGAGGATTACATTCACTAGAAAGAGAAATGTAGCTTTGGCTGCACCTGGCTGGAGCTCACACATTCGACACAAAGAAAGTCATCAAATTGAGGAAAACAGCATTCAGGAGAGGCTGAAGTTGGCCAACAGATGGTCCCACGGGAAAGAAAAGGGCTCCAGAGTCCCCAAATGCTTGGAAAGAGCATCCTCTTGGGGGACAAGTCTACTGCACACCCTCTGAGGAGAACCGCAGGACTGGGATCTTTCCAGGCCTCTCACCCCTTCCTTCGGCGGCCACACGTGGGCGGTGCGGCTGTCTGACGGCACTATTTTACATAATAACCACAGAGAACAAGTCTGGGGAGTTTGGGGTTTTCAGAAATTACGATGGGGAATTTCATTAGTACCAGAAATTACAAACTAAAAAAACCTACCACAGACAAAGATACTTCTCATATGAGTGACCAGCCATGAGGCCTGGGCCAGCCAGAAAGCCAATGGATCCCTTGGCCACTTCCTACTGGGCCGGGGCATGGCCTTCGGTGGCGTCAGCCATTGTTATAGGATCAGATGGAAGGAAAAAGGCTGGAAGTGGTTTCTCTTAAAATAAAGCTGTTGATGGCGAGACTATGGGAGTTATTCCTGGCCTGAAATAACCCGACTTAACTGCTGGAGCTCAATATTTAAATCTGCTAGGATGCCAATGGTTTAAAGCAATGGTTGAAATAAATAAATACTAATGTAGTAAGAAACATCCTGTCACTGATTCTTGCCCTTCGCTTGACGAAAGGCAGTTGGCTTTGACATCTGAACAGACCACTCTCAGAAGCTGTCCAACCCCAACGGTGGTTTCACCCTGATGAAAAAACAAGCAAGAAAACCAAAGACCACCCCCCAAACCAAACTACCCTCAGAGTAGCTGGTCTGCTCCAGCCTGGGGTCCGTTGGACACTGGGGCCCAGCAAGTGGGGTGCTGCTGATCAGTCTGACCCCCATCCTGGGGAAGCAGCCACCAGGTAAGAATGAGAACCGTTCTGATGAGCTGTAGAAATAGAAGCCAGAAGTGGAAGAAAAAACCAAGAAGGCCTTTTGCAAACCAGGTGTCTAGAACCAGTCTTGGCTCCCTCGTCGCAAAAGAGGACTTGAGATACAGCACTTTGAGGATGACAGGTCCAAAAGACAACTGTCGATCAGCGTGAAGTTCCTTGAGACGGACATGTCTGTGTCTCACTAGGGAGACACAGTGGGGGAGGAGCGCCTGAGGGCCTGGCTCCCTGGCGGGGGAGTCAATTCAGGTGAACATCTACTGGCTCACAGATAGCAGCTTATCTCTACGCTCAGAGCACAAGACTACCAGTTATGGCTCCTATGATCCACACCCTACATCGACTGAGGCAGAAAGGCATCGGGAAGCAGATGGGGAAATGGCTCCAAGGAATTCCAGTCCTTCTCGCTGGGCAGACCCCTCCCTCGGCGGCGCTGGTGGATGGGACTTCTGGAGAGGGACCCCAGGGCTCAGGCCGTCCATCACTGTCTGCCTCCTCCCTGTCCTTTGCTTGAGAACAAAACCAGACTCACACATACACACCCCACACCTGTCTCCTTTTAAAACGGTGGCTGAAAGAGCTTTCGCAGGAGGATACCCCCAAAATACACAGTTGGTTCTTTACGAGTGGAAAAGCCAGTAAGTGTCAGGCGGCTTGGAACGGAGAACCTTTCAGGAAGCAGGTGCAGGTGGTGGCAGTGGGCGGTCCCAGGGCTGGAGCATGCACCTCAGTGGAGGCACGGCAGGGCGGAGGAGCGGGTTAAGCGACCCGCCTGCACAACAGGCTTCCAGGTCCCATCTAGGCACTGCTGCAGGGGGGCTGTGATGGGAAGTGCACGTGACTGGGACAACCAAGGAAGTGGGATGGGCCATGTATTTTAAATAGTATGGCATTCAAATGAGGGGGAGGGGCATAAAAGGAGATATTCTAATCTAGGAACTCAACCTTGTGGTGTTTCGTACTCCTAGGTTAGACCGGCCAAAGGAAAGATTCTTCTAGTTGTTGTTCTAGAAGAGTGATCTAAAATCTATACTCTGTTTGTGGGGAGTCCTGAAAATACCTGTTCACAAGGGCATGTTAAAAAGTTGGAAGAGTTCGGTTCTCTTTGTGAAATCCTGTCAGTCTAATTCAGGCCAGGATGGGATATAAAACCTCTGTAAGGAGCCTTCCAACAGGCGTTCCATCCACAAGGACAGCTTGCTCAATTTCCCCTTGATGGGCTTGGACCCGAGGCCACAGGAAGCTTTCCCTCGAGCTTCGCCCAGGTGGAGGGAAGAGTCAAGGTCACTGCACGCCCCCAGGGCTGCTTCCTCCTCTTCCAGGGTTTTTTGGGGCTTGAAGAGGCAGAAGTATTTCTTGTGGCCGTTCAGAGCCAGCACGTATCCCGTGTAGTCACGATCCATGAAATGCTTATCGTACTGATTGGGGATCGGGGCTGCATCCTGAGCGAATTCCAGTAAGTACTCCAGCCACTCCCTGTGCTTGTCCAGACTCAGGAAGGAGAAGTGGAGGCAGCTGCTCCTGCAGGAAGAACAGAATGCAGCTGTTGGTAGGTAGTTCCTGACACACACTGTGCAGGTGACAGACAGGGTATGGAGCTGCGCCTCAGAAGGGCCCCGAACAAAAAACAAAAAAAAGGGCCCCGGGGGGGCCAAAACGCCCCCTCAAACGCCCCCCGGGCCCCGCAACCAACCCAACCCCCCCCAAGCCGGCCGGCCCCCGGAAAAGCCAAAAGCCCAAAAAAACAAGCCCCAATCCGAAAAGGAACCGGGAAACCGCCCAAGTTCACTCTCCTCCTCTGTTCACAGCCAACAGAACATGAAGTCAAAAGGGGCTAAAGGGCCGCACCATGCAGGCTTCCAAGTTGGGGCTGGGGAGCTCAGTCAGCATCTCACGGACAGGCAGAGCGCCTCCAAGTCAAGGCGCTCCTCCCCCAGGTGTCCCGCTCCCCGCGGCTTACCCAGTGAACGTGTACACCTCCAAGGCGAACTTCTGCAGCAGGCTGGTCTTGGTGGAACTGGAGAGGATGAGGACGACGTTCATGTGGCCGGGCCTCAGGCGGACCAGGTTACTGGTGTAGGTCACATGGGTGAGTTCCGTCACCTCCACAAAGCCTTTTTTAGGGACCTTGCTGTGGGGAAATATCAAGGCGCTAGATGTTTATCAGGCTAGAGCAGCCGTTCTCAACCTGGGGGTCGAACGACCCTTTCACAGGGGTCACCCCATTCATCACAGGAGCAAAAGGACAGTGATGGAAGTAGCAACAGAATAATTTTCTGGCTGGGGGGTCACCCCAAAATGAGGAACTGTATGACAGGGTCGCGGCATGAGGAAGGTTGAGAACCGCTGGGCTAGAGGAATGCCATCACTTGACAAAAGAGCATGAGGAAGCCAGACGCTGTCTTTAATAAGCTGGGTCTGTCTAACATTCTTGAGCCTAACCCACTGGCGGGAAGGGGAGGACCCTGATTTTGTGACCCTGGACCAACACAGAGCCGGCCTGCTGCTGCTTTTCTGTTGGAGAAGCAGCAGCCTTATGGCAGGGTGAAGAAGGCAGCTGTCAGCCAGCCTGCCTCTCCTCCCGGCCACTCCTGCTCAGACTCAAGGCCACGGCCACAGTGACTCGCCACTTTCTGCCTCTGGCCCATCTGCCATCTGGGTGGTGTGGCTTTACCACCTGCTTTCACCATTAAATCTGAGACGGAGAGACAAGTTACATCTATCCATCTACCCATCCACAAGTGGCTTTATTCCACTGCTACTGGTCAGTGGGCCTGGTGCCGTGGGAGGCGAGTTCCCAGTTCTGCAGGAGAGACAACCCCCTCTGTCCACTGCCACCTGCTGTTGTCTTTGCTGAAGGCTGGTTCAGTCTTCCCAGACTTCTTATGGGATTCCTCTTTCTCCGGAGGGCTTGACTCTCTCTCATCGTTGGAGTCACTAAAATAAGAGAAAAAGGAGTTTTTTTTTAAAAAAGGCAGATGACCCCAGAGGTCCCCTTTCAGAACGTGTCCGAGAAGCCGCTGAGGCGCGTACCTGAACGCCTGCATGATGACAGTGCCGAAGAGGATGAAGAGGGCTGAGAAGATCAGGGACAGGAGGGGCATCATTTCCCGCCTAAAATAAAGGTGACAAACCGGTCAGTCGAAGACGGGTGGCTGTGATGTCTCACCATGCGATTTTAAGTCTCTTCCCTCTCACTAAAACAAATCAAATAACCCCAAACTAAAAAGTCTTCATAAAAATAACATTTTCTAATGTCATACAATAGTTTTTGTTTCTTTTTGATATGGTAGTGGCAGAAGGAGGGTAGAGCTGTTTTAACTGTTCTCACAGCTTCTTCTGAAAGCTTGGCTTTGTCTTTCAGTGAAAATAGGGCTATCCTTCAGGAGTTTTGCCTAAGAAAACAAGGTTCACAGGGAAATAGATCTATGTATATACATTTATTTTTTAAGTTCTAAGATAGCAGACGGACATTGGGCCTCTACTCAAGTCCTCCCTCAATGCAAGAAACTTTGTTTTAATAGCCCGGCATTCCGTGAAGCTCACCTTCCAGACCTGATCACTGAAGGCAAAATGGGTGCATAACAAATGTGGTGAAGAAAGCTGATGGTGCCTGGCTATCAAAAAATATAGTGTTTGAGGTCTTAAAGGTTTAAAGATAAACAATTGGCCATCTAGCTGAGAAGCAACAAAGCCCACATGGAAGAAGCACATCAGCCTGTGTGATCATGAGGTGTTGATGGGAACAAGTTATCAGGCATCAAAGACCCAGAACAAAGAATCATATTCATGCGAACAAGGGGGAGGGTGGAGTGGAGACCCAAACCCTATCTGTAGACAGTTGGACATCCCCTTACAGAAGGACACAAGGAAGAGACAAGCCAGTCAAGGTGCAGTACACCATTGATGAAACATACAACTTACCTCTAGTTTTTTTAATGCTCCCCCCACTCCAACCTATCATGACCTCAATTCTACCTTACAAATTTGGGTAGACCACAGCATGTATACTGGTACAGATAAGAGCTCCAACACACGGAATCCAGGACAGATAAACCCCTCAGAACCAATAATGAGAGTAGCAATACAAGGAGGGTAAGGGGGAAAGTGGAGGGAGTAATGGGGAACTGATCACAATGATTGGCTTATAAGCCCCTCCCCCAAACCCCCACGAACTATAGAAAAGTGGGTGAAGCAGTTGGTGTAAGACATGAAAAAAAAAATTATAAAGGGTTCATTAGGGAGGGAGGAAAAAAAGGAGAAGCTGATACCAAGGGCTCAGATAAAAAGACCATGTTTTGAAAATGATGATGGCAACATATGTACAAATGTGCTTGACACAATGGATGAATGTACAGATTGTATAAGATGTGTAAGAGCTGTAAGAGTCCCCAATAAAAAGATTTAAAACAAGAAAAGAGAACAATAAGGTAATAAAGGACTTAAGGTACGAACATGGACGGACTTCTGTATCTAGGGAGCAACACTGGTTAAAACCTCAACTTGACTGATGGTCTTTCTGAGCAGAGTAATTGAGACGTGGCCCAGAGGAGCAGGAGTAAGGAGAAAAGTCAGCTTTTCAAGAGTCCCTCAAGGGCTGGCGGTCTAACGCTTGTTTCTCCCACAACACCCACTCTAGGCTGGCTACTCTCCCGGTGCAGGAGCCAGACAGGGACAAGACGTGGCTGTGGGCTCCAGGAGCTCTGTCTCACAGTGGTGGCAGTGGGCTCGAGTCCAGTCCCCATCCCCTGGCATATCTATGTACTGGGCTCTGTGTGGCCAGGCTCCGAGGGCAGGAGGGCAGGCAGCCTGAGGCACTGCTGTCTGGAAAGGCAACTGTGGAGAGCCTTTCCGAGGCAGTGGGAAAGGGCTAGCAGATATCGACTAAGTGGTTACTGCAGGCAGGGAAAGACGAGGGGGCAGCTGTAGGAAGGACCACAGCGTTCTTCCATCGCCGACGCAGAGCAAGCACTGCAAGGGGTGCGGCTCTTCCGCAGGGAAGTCCTGGGGCCGGTGTGAAGCTACCCCAGCAACACACCTACCAGTTGTTGTGTAAGATGCTATCCCAGCAGTCTGAGATGTAGTCAGAGGCTGAGTAGAGCCACCGAAGTAGAAACACCTGGGGAAGAAGATGAATGCAGGTCAGGATGCGCCCCGGGGCGACAGACACGCTCCCCCCCCCAACCCCCGCCCAAGGCTGGACGCCCATCGCCAGCCCTGTGAGCCCACAGTCCTGCCCAGCAGCTCAAGCTCTTGGGGCCCCGGTGCTTACAGGGGCCAGTTCATCGGTCAGGTCGGGAAGCACCGCTTCAGAAGACAGCAGAGCCGGGTCTTTGCGCAGCTGGTCGAGATAACCCAGAAGGGTGAATTTGTCGCTCTCACTGCCAGTCCAGGGGCCTTCCAGGGTCTTGTAGACAACCCTTCCCGCGGTGTTACGCCTTTCCAAGATAGACACCTGGGATGTGAAGTGGGGGGGGACCATTTGAAGTCTCAACAGCTTACTGTGTTCCTTCCCACTTCGGGAGTACAGTTTACTGACAGACTATTTTTTGGGGTGACTTTCCAAAGCTTTTGGTGAGAGTTACTAATATCACAATAAAGGGAACCTCTGTCTTCAAGTGATCCCCCAAACTGAGGATTCCATAATTATCAAAACAATGACATCGGAACAGAATTTCATCCTTCTCTAGAGGGATGATCCCGGGAGGGGAAGCGGAGCTCACCCAGGATGGAGAGAAGGAAGCAGAAGTACAGGGGGTGTGGAGGGGTGGGTGACAACCTGACATGGGACTTCCCCAGCACAGGACTGGTGGTCTAAAGACTTTAAGGAACCCTGGTGGTGCTGTGGGTCATATATTGGGCTGTTAACTGCAAGTTTGACAGTTCAAACACACCAGCCGCTCCTCTGGAGTAAGATGAGGCTGTCTTCCCCATAACGATTTATAGCCTCAGAAACTCTTTTGGGCAGTCTTCCCTGTGAGGTGGAACCAGCTCAGTGGCAGTGGGTTTGGCTATGTTCAAGCAAGACTTAGACACTAGGACACTGCACCAGGCATGAAACAGAGAAAAGGGTGGATGTGCTTCAACTGTGACCCATCAGAAAGAGGCTGTCTCTTATACTTAGACAAGTGGCCATCTAGCAGGGAAGCAACAAAGCCCACGTAGAAGAAGCACACCAGCCTGTGTGATCATGAGGTATCAATGGGAAAAGGTATCAGAAGGTCAAAAATAAGCAACCAAATCGATGTGAAGGGGCATGGATGTAGTGGAGACCCCAAATCCCCCGGTAAGATAATTGGACAGTCCCTCTCAGAAGGCCCAAAATGAAGCGATGATCTATCCAGGGTGCGGTATAGCACCGAGGAAACACATAACTCTCCTCTAGTGCTTTACTATTTCCTCCCCCTACAATTATGGTTTCGGTTCTACCTCATTAATCTTGTTAAGAGTGCGTATGGGCCTTAGTAAAATTAATATCTTTTGATGCATGAAAGCCAACATCGGTAACCCCACAGAAAAGTAATGGGAGTAACGGTTTCCTGAGGGCATGGGAAGAGAGGTGGGGAAGGGGGAGCTGACAGCAATGATAACTGTATAACATCACTCGAGGGGAGTGGTGAATGGACAGTGTAAGATACAGCCCCCCCATATATATATAAAACATATATATGCTATATATTATATATAATA